CTGCAAAAGGTCCTCACTGGCATCAAACGGTCCCAAATGCCTCCCAAATTAACTCGCCACCCCATAACTACTCAAATTTTGGTTTCAATTTACAATTATTTCCAGCCTCCCCAAAGTTACAATGCAGACCATATAATGCTGTGGGCTGCTTCATCCTAGCCTTTTTTGGTTTTTTACGCACAAATGAATTTACTTGTAATAGCAGTAGTTTTGACCCTACTGTCCATCTTGGTCTAAGGGATATTACCTTTATCCCTAACATTGAATCCCCCAAGCACATGCCTGTTTCCATTAAGCAATCCAAAACTGACCCCTTTCTCAAAGGCTGTACCTTAACCATAACAAGGTCCACCACCTCTATCTGTTCTGTGATGGCTATGACAGACTACCTGCTACAATGTAAACCAGCTGCTACAGGCCCTTTGTTTACCTTCATCAATGGCAAGTGGCTCTCCTGTGCCTCACTGACTAAGGAGCTCCGTTCTGTACTGCAAGGGTGTGGCCTACCTGCTGATCGTTATTTCACACACAGTTTCCGCATTGGTGCAGCTACCACTGCAGCTGCAGCAGGGGTCCCTTCGTGGCTTNTCTGTACTGCAAGGGTGTGGCCTACCTGCTGATCGTTATTTCACACACAGTTTCCGCATTGGTGCAGCTACCACTGCAGCTGCAGCAGGGGTCCCTTCGTGGCTTATCAAGGTACTGGGCTGCTGGAGCTCAGACTGTTATGAACGCTACATCAGAACTTCCCAAGAAACACTATTAGATATCCCTAAGAAATTAGTCATAGATAATTCTAATGTTCTAATTTAGGTCTGCTGTAAGATCTGTTTGGACCCTTTCAGCCCTATTATCAACATGCAAATTCTCCCCACTGGCTTGTTGTTACCCATATAAATATCCTTGCTGGTACTGTTAGATCTGCCACTCCCACTGTGTGGGTGTGGCTTTAATAATTTATACTAAATTGCACACCAGCAGGGTCTCACTAACAATTTCGAGACTTTGACAGTTAAACTGGCCGCCTAACAAGGGGTGCCGCTCAAAAGCCAATTTCGTCTATGATACGTCCATGCAGGGAACCATGGTAGTTGAATTCATCTTCTTAGACTGGATATTTGTTTTGATGAATACAACTGCCATGAGTTCCCTGCAGAGCGTGTTTCATAGAGGGAACTGGACAGGGGTGGCCGCTTAATTTAAGTTCGTCTGCGTGTTAGTGGAGCTCTTGCGCGAAGCGGGCCAACGCAGCACCATGGATAAAGAGTTTTGGATAAGCCATAAATATATACCGAGAAAATTTGG